TTGAGTGTTGATACCTATGGCGCAGCCTCATTTCTCTCTGGCCAACCAAAATCTAAAGGAAAGTCACAGTGCAATAGAGCCAGAAAAGACTGAGCACTGGCTGCTTCTTTCCAGTCCTCACAAGACTCTATGTTCCTCCATCACAGGAACTGGGTTTCATTCATCTCAGTCTCTAATCCAGCAAACAGTAGGAACTTAATCAGTACTCACTGAGCAAATGAGCGATGAGATGCAGTCTGCATTATTGCACATTCTTTTTAAACTGAATTTTATTGTTTTTTCATATCTACAAAAAAGTACTTAAAAACTAATACCAAAAATATGTACGTAAAACTTTCAAATAATACAGAAGTGTTGAAAGAATCACCTAAAGAGAATTCTTCTTGGCATCTAGAGTATTATTTATCCAAATATTTCCTTTATGTATGTAGAAACTAACACGTAAGTACATGTAACATGTAAGTACCACGAGCTTTGGAATCAGGTATGCCTTGGTTTGAAACCAAGCTCCATCACTTCTTAGTGCTATGGCCTTGAAAAAGTCACATAACCTCTCTGTGCCTCAGTTTCTATGGAAAATGGAGATAATAATGAAACTTACCCCACAGTGTATTGGAATAAATAAATTAATATGTACAGAGCACTTAGGGCAGCTCCCAATACAGAAAAACAACTCAATGAAGGCTAGCAACTATTTATACATATTTAAACAAAATTTGAGGTTATACTACAGATCCTAGTTTACATTTGCTTTTTATATAACAATATGTTGTGGATACTTGTTCACAACATATACAATATGTTGTGAATACTTGTTCTGTAGCATATACAGAGCTAACTCCTTCTTTTTGATGGCTACATTATATTCAAATATGTGGCTGTATGTAACTAATCCCATCTCTGGCACTTGAGTATTTCTAATATTTTATTATTACAAATGACCACAATAAAAATTCTTGCAGCACATATATTTTCCACTAATGGGTAAGTATTTCTATAGGATAAATCCTAGAAATGAGATTGCTGGTTCAAAGTGTATGGATTTTTAAATATATTAATAGACAAATTTTCAAATTGCCTTCCTAAAAGGCTGTATGCTTCATACTTTGATCAATGAGTGTAATTTGGTGCCTTATGGTTGTGTACCTTTCAACCAGATTCCCCAATAGTTTATTTTGAATGTCCCAGTAGTTATAGAATCAAGGACTTTGCCCTGCTAGCTCACTGTATTCCTTTACCTTTCTAAAAACCATAAACAACTCCTAAGAACTTAGCAACCAATTTTCTGCAGCAAATACTCAGATGATAGCCTGACAAAGAATTTCTATGACATTCCCAGAAGGGAGAGGAGGAAAGGTTGGAATTTCAGAGCCCTGAAGTGGCTGATGGGAAGAACATGTGAAATGAGAACAATCCGTTAAGTTTGGGAAACAGGGTGGCTGTATCTGCTTCCATCTTTGTTTTCTGTGACTCAGACCCTTGTTAAATAAACAAGAGGCCCTCTCTGTTGAGTTTCAGTGGGTGCAATATCTCTAGTGTGGTGTCCCCAGGGTGTGATTTGGGTACTTAACTACTTGTTAATCACTTCTAGGCGATTCAAGGACAAGAGGAGCACCTCATGGCCAGAAGCTGAACAGCGCCACCAAGCTGACAGGCTGTTTCAGTGGTGGCCAAAGCCCACACCCACTCTTATTTTTAATTTCAATTTCAATCCAAGTAATAAATATACATAATGTTTAAGAGTTAATTACTACTACGAGTTAGATACTGTTACAAGGCTTATAACAAAAATCCCCTTTCTCACCACTAAGTCCCATCCCATGAAGCAATAACTCATTCTATGGTTACTTCTTTATACCTGACTATGGTGTCACTTCAAGATTTTCCAATTTTAGACCTTTTCTATTAACTTACAGCTATGGAGAATAAAAATTTAGTCTCTCCCTCCCTCTCTCTCTCTCTCTCTCTCTCTCACACACACACACACACACACACATACCCTCCTGCTCCAATTTTCCCAAAATAATTATATCATAATTTCTGGTTAAATCAATTACTGTTCTTCGATTATAATGACAGTGTAATATTATTTCCAGCTGAGCGTTGTAGTTTATGATGATTACAATGTTCTTCTTATAAATTGTCTTTGTTTTTTTGGCTTTAATAATCACCTTGGCTTATTTGCTTAGTTTTCTGTGAGTAGCTCCAATCCATCCTCAAATTCTTTGCCAGGACTCCAATCCTCTACAATTGCCTCAGCTTTGTGCTCAGTCTAGGGGCAGTATAGTGTAATGCAGTGGTTCTCAAAGTTTGCTTCCTAGACCAACAACGTTAGCATCAGCATCACCTGGGACCTAGTGAGGCATGAAAATAATCAAGCCCTACCCAGGACTTACTGGTTAGCTGCTCTGGGGGTGGGGTCCAGCAATCTAGGTGATGCTGAGGTGCACTTGAGCTGGAGAACCCCGGTTTGTGTAAAAGTTAAGAGTTTGGGCACCAAAACCCAAGGCTGCTGGGGATCACATTTCAGCTATTCCACTTGCTTGTAACGTGACAGCTTCCAAGTTCAATCCTCCCATTCATAAAATGGGGTTAACCGTATCTCCCTGTAATTGTTGTGAGCTTCGGGCTGTTAGGAAGCATGACAGGCTCCAGTTTTTCTTGGAGACAGCCCTCCTGGAGCCTCTGAAATCCAGTTCCATCATGCGAGGGGAGTTCAAGCCAAAGGCATAGCCTCCCTACAGCCCTCCCCAGCGTCCCCCACTCAGAGTACACCCTCCACTGAGGCACCCACCTCAAGCTTCTCTCCTTCAGAACATCCACAGCCCCTCTGAGGTCCTCCTCCCATACCCCATATCAGCTTCTCTCCCCTTAACCCCTTCCCATCCTCAGCTCCCCTGCTACAACCGCCATTTCAGACGATTCTCTGCCATGGCCCGGTGCCACCTCCAGCCCCCAACCCTCGACTCCCAAGCCCCCTCCTCATTCCCATTACCCTCTGACCCAGCCCACTGGAGTAGTCTCAGCCTTCTCCCAGCTTCCATCCCTTCCACACTCCTCCACTCACCCAACCTTTCCTTCCCAGCCCAGAGCCTACTGCTTTCCCAGAGAACCCCTCCCCCCCACCCCAGGGCCAGCTGCCCCTTGGGTGTTCTTACCCACTGAAGTAGCGGGGATGGGAAGGGAGCATCACCATTCTGCTTCCACTACTCTTCCCTATTCCCTGCGCTGCAGTCACACTGGCCGCTTTGGGTGCTACATCTCAGGGCCTTTGCACCTGCTCTTCCCCCTGACATGGAATGTTCTTCTAGTTGGTATGCATTACTGCCCCTTAGCAGTAATTCCCACCCAAAGGTGACCACTGATATGATTTCTGCCGCCACAGATCAGTGTAGCTTGCCTTTACGTTAATGGAATCAAATAGTATGGACTCTTTTTCCCCATTTTTTTTTTACAACTTTATTGAGGTAAAGCTGCAAAAATGATGTACAAAAACTGCACTTATTTAAAGTGTACAGTGTACACTTTGAAGTGTTTTGAACATATTCCCCCCTTGAAAGTATCACAAGGTAATTTCAAGATAACGAACATATCCATCCCCTCAAAAAGTTTCTCAAGTCCCTTTGTATTCCATCCCCTCTCCGCCACCCCAACTGCTAATCTGCTTTCTGTCACCATAAATTCGTTTGCATTTTCAAGAATTGTATAATAGAATCATCCAGTATATACCCTTTTGTTCCTGACTTCTTTCACTTAGCATAATTATTTTGATTCATCCATGTTGTATCAATACTTCATTCCTTTTTTTTTTCCCCCACTGAACAGCATTTCTTGGTACAAAAATACCACAATTTGGTTATCCCTTCATTTATTGATGAACATTGGAGTGTTTTCCAGTTTGGGACTTATAGAAAAAGCCACTATAAACATCCTTATGCAAGTTTATTAGTGAACACAGGTTTTCATTTATCTTGGGTAAATACCTAGGCGTGCAATTACTGGGCTATAGGGTAGATATATATTTAACTTTATAAGAAACCGCCAAACCTTTTTTCTCCAAAGTGGTTGTACCATTTCACATTCTCACCCATTGGCTTAAATTTGACATCAGTCATGTTCCTCACAGCTTCTATACTTACTCCCTCTGCCTGAAATGCCTTTCCACTAGTTTTAGCATGGCTGGCTTGAGGTCTCAGCTCGTGTCACTGTTATAGATTTAGTTGTTATAGACTGGTATAGACTTAATTCCCCCCTTCCCACCCTTGCCAAAATCATATGTGGAATTCGCAACCCCCAGTACCTTAGAATGTATCAATAATACATTTGGGGATAAAGTCTTTAAAGGGGTGATTAAGTTAAATGAGCCAGTTAGGGTAGGCCCTAATCCAATACGACTGTGTCCTTATAAGAAGAGGAAAAGATATCCCCACAGAGAAAATGTCTTATGAGGACACAGCCAGAAGGCAGCCATCTGCAAACTAAGGACAGAGGTCTCAGGAGAAACCAAACCTGCCAACACTCTGATCTTGGAATTCTAGCCTCCACAATTGTGAGAAAATAAATTCCGTTAAGCCACCCAGTCAGTGGTATTTTGTTATGGCAGCCCTAGCAAACTAATACAGAGGTCTTTCAATCAGCATTTTGTAACCATGGGAGTAATTGACTCAGGCAAGAACCATAAATGAATGCTAAAAACAGTGGGTGAGAGTCTGATGAAGAACAGGGTAGTCTCAAAATATCTTACCACAAGACACTTAATAATTACAAAGGGAAAAATAGTAACTTTTCAGTGTAGTACCTTGGCAGACACCACCTTAACCAAATGATCAAAGTGAACATCATCAGTATTGGAATAAAAATATGCCATGTGCCTCCTGATGTGGTACACTGAGGACACAACTCCTTTCAGTGCCATTCCTACCAAAAATGCATAACCTAATTCTAATCATGAGAAAATACCAGACAAATCTAAACTTAGGGACATCTACAAAATGACTCACCAGTACTCTTCAAAAATGTTAAGGTCAGGGCTTCCCTGGTGGCGCAGTGGTTGAGAGTCCGCTTGCCGATGCAGGGGACACAGGTTTGTGCCCTGGTCCGGGAAGATCCCACATGCCGCGGAGCGGCTAGGCCCGTGAGCCTGCGCGTCCGGAGCCTGTGCTCCGCAACGGGAGAGGCCACAACAGTGAGACGCCGCCCGTGTACCGCAAAAAAAAAAAAAAAAAAGTTAAGGTCATAAAGGACAAAGAAAAGCTGAATAATTAACTGCCTTTCTAGAGTAAAGGAAACTCTGGAGTCATGACAACTAAATGCAAAGTGATCCTGACTGGATCGTAGGGAATAGCTATATTATTGGGACAATTAACAAAATTTAAATATGGAAGACATATTAAAGAATTGCATTATTGTCAAAATTCTTGATTTTGATAATTGTACTGAGATTTTGCAAGAGAATATCCATGTTCTTAGGAAGAACACACAGAAATATTTAGGAATGAAAGGGGAATGATGTCTGAAATTTAGTCTAAAGTGGTTTTGGGGGAAAAGAAAATACAAATACATATTATATATAATACATACACAAACAAATACACAAGAGAGAATATGATAATGCAAATGTAGTAAAATATAACAAATTATTATTATGGTTAAAAATATGAGATTCTTTACTATTCTTGTAATTTATATGTAAATTTGAAATTTTATCCAAAAAAAGTTAAGTTTTTAGTGACCACACTAACAAAGTGGCCTGTCCCCAACCCCCAGGCACTCTTTAGCTCATTCTTTTCCTCTATTACACTTACATTGTCAAAAATGATCCTATGTATTTATTTAATAATATCTAACATTTAATGTGTGCAAGGCCCTGTCCTATTCTAAGCGCTTTAACTGTCTAACCTCAGTGAATCCTTCAACTACTGTTCTTCCCATATTACAGATGAGGACAAGAGACACTTAAGAAAGTGTTATTTGCACAAAGTCACCCATATGATTTGACGAGGCACAGAACCTCAACTAAGGTAGAGACTGTCTTGTTCACTGCTCTTTCCCCAACAATTTAGAACAAAAACGGTGCCTAGCACATTACAGGCACTCAATATCTGTAGATTCAGTTTACAAATATGGAGCACCTACTGGGCACTGAGGTACAAAGCAGTGAACAAAATAAAGATTCATGTCTAAATGGAGCTTACATTCAGCACTCTCAGCCCTGCACCCAATTAGCCACTTTAGATTTATATCAAAATCTAAATATTTATATATTAATATTTTATATAATATATATATATTTTTATTTGGGGCTATCAACCCTGGGAGGCAAGGCCGAGTCTACCCATTTTTCAGAAGGGGAAACTGAGGCTCCAAGTGGGGCAATGTTTTGCCCAGGATCAAGGAGCTTAATAGGAGACGGGGCGTGGATTCCGTCCCAGTGCGGGCGGTTCCCAGGCAAGACCTATGAATCAATTAAACCGACCAATCCAATCAACCAATCAGTATTTATTAGGGCCTACTGGGTACAGCTCCTCTTCATGCAGCGCAGGCAAGGAAGAGAGGAGGTTGCGGTGCGCAGGCGGTTGCGGAGACCGGAGGCCGCTGCCCGATCGCGGGAATTTGGCGCCAGTTTTTTGTTGGTTGGGTGTTCTCGCCTGTGATTGGGCCCCGGCCCCGCGTGGGCTCACCCGGCTGCTACTGGTCGGCCGACCTTGGCAGGACCCCGGCGGCGCAGTACTCGGCTGGCCTCCCGGGGGATGGGCCACCAGGAACCCCCGCTGGCCCGAGTGCGGGCGGGACGTGCGGCTTATATAAAAAGGTTACGTAAAGGGCTCAGCTGGCGCGAACACGTGGAAAGCCGCGGGATCCCTGACGCCCAGTTGTCCCCCGAGAGCACCGCTGCCATCACCCGTACGGCAACAGGCTCTGTCGCACACCCGACCCGGGCCACGGTCTCTCGCCCGGCTAGGTACCCGAAGCAGCCCTGGCCCGGAGCGGACCATCCCCAGCTGGGGGCCTTAGAGGGGAAACGCGCTGCCCGGAAGTGGAAGGGCGCAGGCCAGGTAAGGGCGCGGTCCGCGGAGTGAAAGCTAGCACCCAAACTGGAACTACGCCCGCCGCCTCGGGCGTCTGGGGAGGGCAGTTGGGCCCCGGGTTGGGCGCGCTCAGGGACTCCGAACTTTCAAGCCAACCCCTTACACCCGCAGCCCGGCGGGACTTGGGTCGGTCCGCTGGGCTCCGCTCCGGCTTAATTCAATGGACTGTTTACACCCGGGAGAACGCAGGGCGGGACGCGGGGAGGGGCATCCCAGCGGGAGCCAAGCGGAAAAAAGATCTCCACAGTCCGAATTTCTTCTTAAGGGCGATTTTCATAAGTCACGAAAACTGCGAGTCCTTGTTTCTCGTACTGCTGTACAATAAGTTAACTGAAAAGGCGGGGAGTTTCTGCTTTTCTTTCCGGCTCCCCCTCTGAGCCAGTGCCCCGTGGTTTCGTCTTTCCCGCTTTCCCCTCCCCTCCCCCGTTCAGTCAGCAGCCGTGCCTTCCGTCTTAAAGGGGCCGTGGCGGCCGGAGGAGGTGGTGGGACGCCCTGAGGCCTGCGCTGCTTGCTTCCCGGCCTTGGCCTGGTCGTTTAACCGATTCTTTCGCCCGCAGGTCACAATCCAGGGTCCCGCTCCTCCGCGTCCCGGGGCCGGACGGAGGGATGAGGCAGGGGGGTCCCGGGCAGCGCCGTTGCTGCTCCCCCCGCCGCCCGCAGCCATGGAAACGGGGGAGGAGGACGGCGCCCGCAGAGGTACACAAAGCCCCGAGCGGAAAAGGCGAAGCCCAGTGCCGCGGGCGCTCAGCGCGAAGCTGAGGCCGGCGGCGGTGGCCCAGGCCATGGATCCGGTGGCGGCCGAGGCCCCGGGCGAGGCCTACCTGGCGCGGCGGCGGCCGGAGGGCGGCGGCGGGTCGGCGAGGCCGCGCTACAGCCTTTTGGCGGAGATCGGGCGCGGCAGCTACGGCGTGGTGTACGAGGCAGTGGCCGGGCGCAGCGGGGCCCGGGTGGCGGTCAAGAAGATCCGCTGCGACGCCCCCGAGAACGTGGAGCTGGCGCTAGCCGAATTCTGGGCCCTGACCAGCCTCAAGCGGCGCCACCAAAACGTCGTGCAGTTTGAGGAGTGCGTCCTGCAGCGCAACGGGCTAGCCCAGCGCATGAGCCACGGCAACAAGAGCTCACAGCTTTACCTGCGTCTGGTGGAAACCTCGCTCAAAGGTAGGAATGCCGAGGGCCGCCCTGGCCACGCATGGCCTGGACCCACGAATCTGCTGGGCTCGGCCCAAACTGACCCCTAGACCCTGGTCCCGGTTTTGTCGCCCTGGACCCGACACACCCTCCTTTCCGGGGCAGACATTCGGGCCGCCCTCTCCTCTCCGGATCCATGATTAGTCCCCGGCACTAATGTTAGCTGGTATTTTAATAACAAGGGCTCATTAAGTGCTAACCATTGTCATAGGAAGTGCTCCATAAGTGTGAACCATTACTATGAAACGTGTAGCACTTTTAAGGTCGGACTTGGGAGTGGAGGGCGTTGGGTTCAGAGTCGGTGGAAGAACTGCCGAGCCCCCTCACACTCTAGGGCCTCTTCTCTTTCCCTCCCAAAGCAAACAAAAAAACTTTGCTGGACCCACCCACACCCGCTCCCTGTCTGGTTCCAAAAATCCTGACACCCTCCGGCTCCACCCTGCTAACTCTTGTTTCCTGGTCTTCCTTTTCCTCTGAGACCCTCCCCACCCCACCACCACCAGCCCTTCATCCCAGGGCAGTCAAGCAAACCGGCGGTTTTCAGCCTAGGTCCTCTAGGGGCCTGCAGAATAATAACTCCACAGGTGGGTCTAGAGCTGTCACACAACACACCTAACATCTTTTTCTTCCCTTCTACAGCCACCCTCTGAGGCTGGCTTCCAAGTGGTTTTATTTATAGGGACGATGGGGCTCAGTGAAGCAAGGGGATTTTGCAGTCCTGGGAGGGCTAGTCCTGGTTTCGGGGTTTTAACTGCAGTTAGGGAGTGTGTGCATCCTGAGTGCTCACGTGCCTTGTTCAAACTACAAGTAGCCAAGGGTCTGTTCATAGAAGAGAGAGCCAGTGAGCTAGGAAGGCCTGAGGAGACTTCCTCAGGGGAGAAGTTGCTAATCTGAGACCCAGCTCTGCCCTAGATCTCTTACAGAGTGACTTGAGGTATAACTTGAAAAGTAACTCCTCTTCTCTTTATATAAGTGGAGAAACTAAGGTTTAGAGGTGAACGAACCTAAGTTGATGGAGGTTAATCAGCTTGTAAGGGAGGTATGGTTGTGCTCCTGGTTTGTTTACAATTTTTCATAGCTTAAGCGATGTGAACTCAGATCTGTCTTGATTCAAGGTCTCAATCCTTTTAAAAGGTGTAATGGTTTCTTCCCTCCCCAAAGGATGAACTAGATCTGACCTTAGTAACAGCAGGTAGGATTTGGGGTGGGGTTGGATAGGGCGTTTTGTTTGGAGCTTTTGCCTGACTATAAGATCCTCCAGGCCCATCCCAAGAGAACTCCTGGTCCTGTTTCAGGTCAGTTGTTTGACAGCGGATTGAGGACATGCTCAATATTACCCGGGGTCCTTTTTCAAAATAGGCTTCTACTTTTTATGCCCATCCCTGTCCCATCCATCCTGAAAAGCCCACTCTCTCTCCAGGGTAAATATATTTGTTTTGAAAAGACTTGCCAGGAGATTCTTTCAGCTTACCTGTATTCTACAGGCTCTTCACTTCACTCTCAGACTGTCTTTTCTGTGGTTAATGAATGGTCTGGACTTCCAACTTACATGACTGCCTTGGGATGTAGGAGTTTGCTTTTCCAAAGGATCCTCTTCTATCCTCAGCTCATTGATACCAGTTTTGAAACTTCAACCTGGGTTGGAAGTCTTTGCTTTGTGTCCCTACATATACTGTTCAAACTTTCCTCACTTGTAGAATTTGTCAAAACTCCGCAGTAAACAGTGGCAGCATAACACAGGCTTTGGGGTTAGACTCACTTTTAGTCATA